CCCCAAAACCCCAAAACCCCAAAACCCCAAAACCCCTTTCAGAATTTATCAGATTGAATTTACTCAATAACTCCTGTACAAGTTACATAAATCTTGGCTGACTTGCAATCTTCAAAGTCATAATTGAGTGCTATGGAGTCTTGGTCTGTTATCTCAATCATCATAGTGCCCTTGCATCTAACGATTTTAAACATTTTTAGAAAATGAGCATATCCCACTTTGGTAGAAATTTCATCCCCTAGGTTATAGTCATCTGAAATTTTGATGACAGAAGGATGTAGAGCATCATCAATCTTAGGGACTTTTATCTCGTTCTTGGATTCATATCCGCCCATATCTAGAGTAATCTGTAAAGAGGTCTTCTCTTCATCCTCTGGCTCAAGGATGGAGAATGTCAGAGCTACTCAGTCGCCATTATATTCAGAGTGCGCAAATAACGGAAAGAGAGTAGATATTTTCTCATAGAAATTAGTAAAGAATATTGAAGTTTCCATCTCATTCAAAATTATCATGGTCTCTTTCTGTTTGATCTCTTTTGGACCTAAAAATTAGTCAGCTTAGTACAAAATAGAGAGAAAAATTACTCTTAGTATCAAGCTCGTATTGACAGACTTCTACTTGAACTTTGTCAAAGATCTCATCATCAGAATTATCGCTTTTACATCTGACTCTGAAGATTTCTACTTCTCTGTCAACTTCTTTATTTCAGACTGAAGCTGATATCATTTCCATAAGCTGAAAATGCTAAAAATGTTATTAGAGGCCTTACACCTGATTACATCGAAGAATTGACCGAAGTTGTGGAATCATAGCAGAATTTTTGACTCAGGAGCTTTTGACTTAATTTCGAACTCCTTCATGAATCCCAATCGATCAGGGTCATCTTCTTTGGTAATTGGGTAAAGTTCAATTTTTCCATAGATATTATCAGAGATATCTCCGGGATCAGGATAGAACTGGATCGAGTCATCTTTACAATAGAGATAGATTAGTTCTCCCTTTTTCCAGAGATTTTTGGCATATGAAAGCATCTTTGCTAAAGCAATCGCGTTTGTAGAGCTAATTGTGAAGTTAAGTCTCATTTTCCCTCAAATTTTTAATTTATAAAATATCAATCAAAATCTGAAATTACGGGGTTTTGGGGTTTTGGGGTTTTGGGGTTTTGGGG